ACCGAAATTCATTAAATAGTTTGTAGTTTGAACGAAAAAATCCCAAAGAGTAAAAAATGAAGTAAAATATTCTGTGCGAAGTCTTTAAGTCTATGCTAGTATCTAGGCAGAACAAGGCGTCCATCTTGCTATTTTTATTTCGGCCGAATATACGTGTATTGAAAATCATGGGAATGCTTGATTTTTTCTACGAAATTAGGAGGCCGAAGATTTTCACAATAAATCGGGTGAATGACAATACACTCAATAAATACTTAGATAAATGAACATTTTTAAAACCGCTGCAAAATTATACGCCGCATGGTTTTAAACTGACATTGGAAATATTTATTCTGTCTGGTGAGTGCTTGACGGAAAAAGTCGACGAAATTTTTGCACGATTCAATTTGGGAAATTATCGACAAGCTCGAAGGAATTTCCTTGCTTCCGGTGAGGGTTCTGGTGCCAATTAGTTTAAAATAATTAGTTGCATTTGTCCTGAGGAATAATTTAAATCTAATTGGACCCAAGTATGATAAAAGATAACACATCACAAAACAATCAGGTAGAAATTGTGATGCTTCAAAATGTTCCGCTTATCCTTCCTGCAAATTTATTAGATTAATCACCGTCAAGCCTATTGGTACCTAAAGCCTGGTGCCTAGAGTTCGTCAAGCCTATTCGTACCTAAAGCATGGTGCCTAGAATTCGTCAAGCCTATCAAGCCCCTATGATTCGTTGCATATCTGTTGCAAATAACATGTAAACATGCATTTAACTTTGCTTTGATAAAAACAGAAAGAAATAAGTAATAAAAAAAACTGTCATGAAAGAACATTGAATTATGACTGCCTAAACTTGTGAGACTGAGGTCATAAAATTCTCTTTTATTGAAGGTAATTTGATGGAATCGAAAGAAGTTTGACGTGGTCATTGAATGAACAAATTTCTGCCCGTCTCTTACACGCCTGGCAGAGTGCCAAGACACGCTCTGCCGTCACCGTCTCACTGTATTTTCTTCCTCATACTTATGAATTATTCACTCTATTTTTTTTATCATATATCCATATCATTCAGTGTATTTTCTTCATCATATATCCGTATCATTCAGTGTATTTTCTTCATCATATATCCGTGTGATTCATTGCATTTTCTGCATCACATTTCCGTATTATTCACTGCTTTTTCTTCATCATATATCCGTATTATTCACTCTATTTTCTTCATCATATATCCGTATTATTCACTGTATTTTTTCATCATATATCCATATGATTCACGGCATTTTCTGCATCACATTTCCGTATTATTCACTGCTTTTTCTTCATCATATATCCGTATTATTCACTGCATGTTCTTCATCATATATCGTATTATTTACTGTATTTTCTTCATCACATTTCCGCATTATTCACTGCTTTTTCTTCATCATATATCCGTATTATTTACTGCATATTCGTCATCATATATCCGTATTATTTACTGCATTTTCTTCATCATATATCCGTATTATTCACTGCATTTTCTTCATCATTACGTCCGTATGATACTTTGCATTTTTTGTTTCACATTTTCGCATTATTCACTGCATTTTTTTCATCTCATTTCAGCATTATTCACTGTATTTTCTTCATCACATTTCTGTATTATTCACTGCATTTTCTTCATCATATAGCCGTATAATTCACTGTATTTTCTACAAGATATTCCTTCCATGTGCGTGTCACCATAGAATTGCCTTCGACCTTCACTGTTTCATTAGTGGATTGAGTTGAGTTCATATCGTGCTCGTGGCCTCTCACTGAATTTTTCAGATTTATTTTCCTGCCTTTACTGACATGCCTTTACTGCCGTGCCTTTAATGTCGTGCCTTTACTGCCGTGCCTTTAATGTCGTGCTTTTACTGCCGTGCCTTTACTGTCGTGCCTTTACTGCCGTGCTTTTACTGCCATGCCTTTAATGCCCTGACTTTAGTGCCGTGCCTTTACTGCCGTGCCTTTACTGACATGCCTTTACTGCCATGCCTTTACTGCCGTGCCTTTACTGCCATGCCTTTACTGCCGTGCCTTTAATGCCGTGCCTTTACTGCCGTGCCTTTACTGCCGTGCCTTTACTGCCATGCCTTTACTGTCGTGCCTTTACTACCGTGTCTTCACTGCCGTGCTCGGGTGCCGGGGGAGGGGGCGATGCCATTATCAGAATTATGGCGCACTTGAGTAACGCCGAGGGAATATTCGTCCTAAGATCAGTCGGGAATTTTAAGGGGGCACCTGGATATTTGTTAATAAATCTTTACACATAATATTGAGATCCTTAATATTTTATCTAAGTTTATTTTGAGCAATTATATTCCAAAATATTATTATTGCAATAAAAATTTATTTTCAATTTATTTTACCCAGCCGTCACGTACCCTAATGAAATCTCTTGCTTGATTGAGGCGGAAGTTTAGTTTTGTTACAAAAATTGCGATAGGTTCAGGAGTTAATTGACGCTGAGCTTTCAATTATTCGGTCACATTGAGGATTATATACATAAAATTTAATTTATTTCATTGCCCTCAATAATTATGAAGGAAGGTTTTGAAAGCAGTGAATTGTTATTGGCAGCTTTGAATATTATAATATGGCAGGAAGAAAGTTCCTTTCAACTTCAAGTAAAAAATTTTCTTTTGGTTATTTTAATTTTGGTACACTCCTGTCAATCTCAGAAGGGCTTCGGTTGTGTTGCTGAATCGAAAATCAAAATATATATTGTATATTTTTTGATCTGTATTGTTCAATAACCAACTACATATTGAATATTTTTTGCATTACATTGTTCAATACCCAACGTAGATTTCCTTTTTACGTTTGCGGAGTAGAGTGAGGTTGGAGCTCAGCCTTCCGATTCTCTCATCAATAATTCTCAGGAAAGTTTTGAAAAATTCTACAAGTTTTCTTCAGAGAATTGCTCCAGGGAAAGTTGGATAACATTCCCCTCTATGGGAAACGGGAAAAATCAGCATTTCATGAAGTGGGAATATCGCCGACGTGAGGAATTCAGGAATTCTTTCTGGAATATTGGAGTCGCTGCTCCGGGACTCCAAAGGATATTTGGAGGATATTTGCCCGTCAGGATATTTGCCTTAATTCTGATTTTTTCGGTGATGAAATGGAGAAAGGGGGACAGAGGGGATTTTTTAGGTCAGGAAATGGGAAAAAGGGGGCAGAAAAGGAGGAATTTATTTTCTATGGTTTTACAACATTTTTTTAATATAGAGATCAGGAACTAAATTTCATCAGTCATGGAGAAGATGTATAAAACGATAGGAAGAGAATATTCCGTGTGTTATCGAACAGTTTCGAGAGTTCAAAATAGCGACGCGAAAAATATACTTCTTCTCGGCAGGCTTAAATAATATTTTGAGGAGTAAGCCTTAATTTGGGTTTGCATCAAAACATCAAATTGTCATTAATTTGTACAGGAATGAATTCTTGATCTGAGAAAAATCAAAAGCATTTTCCCCTAAGTGTTTTTCTCATTTTGAAATAAATTGATAAGAACTTGGGCATGCAAATAGAGGGTTTCGTAAACACTGAATTAATGTTATCTGTGGCGAAGTATTTCCTTCTTCACGTGCAGTAGGGTTAGAATTCTGTTTTTGTTGAAGCAGAGCTATTTATTCTGGCCTAGCCAGGCCACTTTCGGAGACTTATCGCAAGAGCGTTAAATTTTTAAATTTTTTCATAAGGTTTGTATCGAGGAGGAAAACATGGCATAAGTGTAACGTAGATTTAGACAAATTCATGTGAGATTCATGTGAAAAGATTTGTGTAAAGGCGGCAAACCACATGATGCGTCTTAATTCAACGCTTTATAACCGTGTGGTTGTATTGTAATGTCGTAAAGAGGTTCCAAACCAAGTGTTACGTTTTCACTCAAACATTCAATAATTGCGTAATTATAACGTAAAGGTGTTAGATTCGCGTAGAAGCTACAAGCTACGCGGTAAATTCTATTTTAATAACGAAAAAGCAGTGTAATTTTGATGTCAGGTTGTTAACTTCAGAAGCTGCTCGGCTACAGTTCACTCATTCCCAACAAAAGTTTTTTTCCGAAACTGCAGGATATGCGGAAAAATTTCATTATTTCTCTGGTTGGCATGCAAAATTGTTTTTAATTCCTAAAATATCTCAGCTGATCGAGTTAGGACGAGTTGCGTCGATGAGCTTCTGTTCATGGGGCCTCGTAAAGTGAACTCTATATATAAACGTTAGTTAATTAACAGTATCAGCTAGAGGGCAGAAATGTGCACTCCTGCTGGCCTTGATTCAATACTGACGTTAAAAAATCATAGTTTCTAATCTGAAGAACTCTAACTTTTTTAGTAAAATAGCAAATTATACTCGCCGATATATTTTCGCGGAAAATATGTGGAGTCAATATAGTTTTTGATTAATTTTTTAGGACGCGCTCAAGATAAATGGTAAAGATTTATTTTTTTCATGAAAGAAACTTAGAATTTAGTAGAATAAGTGCAGTAGTTTTATGCTAGCGTAGCTTTCGATATTACATAAAAAATAAGCTTTACAGGTATGGGTTTGAAGGCAGGATTATGGAATTCGATTATGACTTTGATAAATACTGTACGTATATGATTTATCCTGTCTATTTACAGAAATAAATTGGCTATCGCAGATTTGAGAAGAACAAAGTCGTAGTATTGCCTTTCAATTAAGTCGCGCAACTTGAACTTTGATATAATTATCCGAATTATATAATAGAAATTACACAAGAGTTTTATTTAAAAAAGACCGGGATTTCCTGGATTGTTTGTTATCTGCTCTTGCTACGATGAACATCAGCAACATGACGGCAATAACCAAAAAAAAATAAATAAGAACAAAATGAAGTCAGCCAAAACACAAAACACGCGAAAAATAGAACAAGCTCATTATAAAACAGTGGGAACAAGACAGTTGCAGAAATGAGTTGCAGCAGCAAACAAAAGTTTAGGGGCAGCAACAGCAAGAGATACATTAGCAGCAGCAGCCACAGCAAGAAGATGTGCAGTAGTCACAGCAGCGGCACTCCACAGCAGCAAGAGGTGCATTAGCAGCAGCAGGGACTGCAGCAGCCACAGCAGCAAGAAGTGCATTAGCAGCAGCAGGGACAGCAGCAGCCACAGCAGCAAGAAGATGTGCATTAGCAGCAGCAGCCATAGCAGCAACAAGATGTGCATTAGCAGCAGCAGCCACAGCAGCAGCAGCAGCCATAGCAGCAACAAGAGGTGCATTAGCAGCAGCAGCCACAGCAGCAGCCACATTAGCAGCCACAGCAACAAGAGGTGCAGTAGCCACAGCTACAGCAGCAGCACGGCAGGCGGTGGGCGTGGTCCAGGTGCCAACATTGACTTCCAACCTATACTGGGGGGCGGCGGGATGGGCTTGCCTCAGTTTACCTGCCCTGACTGGGCTTAACTTGGCTTGTTTATGAGGAAATAGCTTACTTGGTTTGAATTAATAGAATTTCCCGTGAGTCTACGATGCTCATTTCGTTGCCAGGGCACTGCCTTGAAGCGTGTAGCGTATGGTAATGAATGCGGGCTGTGGGGCTAACAGAACTTTTTTCCTGGGCATTTGGAATCTATGCTATCTCTGCACACACGGCAGGGGCGTCGCTAGTACAGAGACCCGCTATCTCTGCACACACGGCAGGGGCGTCACTAGTACAGAGGCCCGTTATCTCTGCACACACGGCAGTGTTATCGCTAGTACTGAGGCCCGCTGTCTCTGCACACACGGCAGTGGCGTTGCTAGTACAGAGGCCCGCTATCTCTGCACACACGGCAGTGGTGTCGCTAGTACAGAGGCCCGCTATCTCTGCACATGCAGTAGTGTCGCTAGTACAGAGGCCCGTTATCTCTGCACACACGGCAGTAGTGTCGCTAGTACAGAGGCCCGCTATCTCTGCACACACGGCAGTGGTGTCGCAAATATTGTGCCTTACTGGGAAATTGTGGCTGTTAAAGATAAATTCAGATCGTCCGTTAAAATAAATCAATTGGCAGTAGAGAATTGCGAGGAGTACTTAATAATAATTACGGTTGATAAATGAATACAGGGACAGAGTGACTCGCGGAAACTTCCTGTTTTCTATTTCTCGTCAAACGAGAAGTATAAAATGTTGTAGGAAAAGGGCGGAGAGTATTTCATATGAAAAACAAGGTTACTGTGCGTTGGACAAATGAGCAGCGTGCGTTTGCTGTCGAGGTGTTCTTTTCTAATCGCCGATTTGCAGACTTGTATCCGTCTGAGTCAACATTTCGTACAGAGCCTCATCTTCTTGAGAAGTGACATTCGTTGACCGGGCTTTGACTGGCACCGATTTGGTTCCATGTGATTTTTTATGGGGTTATCTTATATCAATTGTTTACAATGACTGTCCATGGACCCTGCCTCATTTGAAGAACAACATACGCCAAGCCATCGCCAACATACTCGTCAATATGCTTCAGCGAGTTGAACGGAACTTCAATAATCGACTAACAGAATGCATTGACAATGAGGGCCGTCATTTGTTCGATTTCATCTTTAAAAAGTAATTGAAACAAAAATTCAGACAATGTTCTTTCACTAAAAAATTCTATTGTAATGATATCTTTACTAGTTCCTTTTTCATTGAGTTTTCATATCAGGAAGTTTCCGTGAATCGCTTTGTAAAGGAGATTTTTTATTTAAATATAGGAAAATTGTTGCTTCACGTGTATAAAAAAATCGCCTCATATAATGATTCATTCCATAACGATATTTCGATAATCTTCATTATGAAGGTGCCAAAACTCTTTATCAATAATTTATTGACACGCTTCTTGTGTTTCAGATTCGTTAAAAGACATAATACGGCATTCTAAATTAATGTAAAAATATTAAACATTTTACTATGTTACAATCACGCACGAAACAAATAATGGTCCGTGGCAATCCCTCTTCACACGTATGTCAAGCACAGTTACGTACTTTGTAATTAATCACAAGTAAAGGTGTGATTTTTAAATTAGTAGCATTTGATTTGTAATTTACAAGATCGATCTCATTTATTTAAGCCAAGAGAATTCTCGGAAATGAATGTGTTATCATCGAATATCGATGACCGTTTCACACAGTGAGCTAAATAATTCATCATCAAAGATCTATTCCAGGACAATATCCCACAATAAACTAAACTATAAATTTTGATCTATTCCATCACTACATCACCCAGTAGAACTATGCAAATTTTGTCTGTACCATCATCGACGCCCAGGTGCCTTTAAAATCCCCCTTTGTACCACAAAATCCGAGGAGGAATAAAGCCTTGTCTTCACACCATTCATAATCCTGCTAAAATTCACACGATTATAATGGGATGAATTCAGTGTAACAATGTAGCCTGAATACAGGGTATTTTAAATTGAGAGAGAACACTTCAATATAATCATCATGTATTCAAAATCAGAAATGAAATTAACGACTTGAAGTCCGTTTCAAATCCAGCTGCAGACCACTCCATCTCTCTCAAAGACACGCATAATATCGAATATCTTCATCCAAAGCACATTCATGTGCGATATTTTGAACGTTAACTTTCTTGTTGACACCCCAAGCAATCGTTTCTAAAGAAACAAAAAAAATCAGGAATTCGTTGTCTTCGAAGCTGTAGAAAGTCCACATAGTACACCACAAGCAGTGATACATAAGCAGTGACCCCCACAAAATCAGGGACCTCCACATCAGCAGCAACCCTCACATCAGCAGGGTCCCCACATAATCAAGGACCCTCACATAAGCAGCAACCCTCACATCAGCAGGGTCCCCACATAAGCAACAAACCTCAGAGAAGCAGGGACCTCCACATCAGCAAGTACCCTCACATCAGCAGGGTCCCCACATAAGCAACAACCCTCAGAGAAGCAGGGACCTCCACATCAGCAAGTACCCTCACATCAGCAGGGTCCCCACAGAATCAGGGACCCTCACATCAGCAGCAACCCTCACATCATCAGGGTCCCCACATAAGCAACAACCCTCAGAGAAGCAGGGACCTTCCCATCAGCAAGTACCCTCACATCAGCAGCAACCCCCACATAATCAGGGACCCCCACATTAGAAGGGTCCCCCACTTGAGGAGAACGCAGCAGCTGTAGTGGGCTGGATTTCCTAGCAAGTCGTCCCAGCACAACATGGTGAGTATTGAAGCTGGTCTGTCATTCATTATATTTATGTAAACTGTCTGAGGTTGCTTTTTCATTGGCGATTATTAAGGCAGATGCACCAGTTTAGTTATTCCAGTTTAGTTATTAGTTATTAACAGTTTAGTTATTAGTTATCATGAATGTTTAGTTTAGTTAACATTCATGTCAAAGTCATTAATGTTATTAATTGTTGAGTTGATTCTTTCCTTTCTTTAGAATATTTGTAAAAATATATTTCGTGCTATGATTTGAACTTGTTTTGAAATGAGTCAATTAGCAGTTTAGATTCGGTTCTTGTAGTGTGAGGCATTTAACTGCTCTCGTATGGAAGTTCACTTATTACAGTGACTTAAAAAGCATTCCATTAAATAAAAGAAATCTAGATTTTGAATAACCTCAAAAAATCTATAAACGTAATTTTAGCATGTCTTAATTAACTATAATTTGGACGAAATTTTCTTATTATATAGTTTTTAAATAATAGTTGAACCTATATTGGTTTTTTACATACCAAGCCAGCCAGCCGCCATGTAGAACTGTTTTATGTAATTTGAAATAATATTACATATCCAATTTAAGAGAATATATTTTGATACACTTATTTACTATATGAAGCTACATTTGCCGCTTACGATTGATACAAATTTCTACATACAAATGCATATCGTAAAGGTGTTAATTAGGTAAATCGGACATATCGAAGTGCAAATCGTAAAGGCTTAAATTAGGTAATTCTCATCGATACTCTGAGGCGTTGTCTTGAGTCTGTTGAATATCTGATGGATGTTGATTCGAGAAGTTCCTTTGTGCTGCAGCACGACGTCTGTGTCAGGACACGCTTGCCATATTTATGCCTCAGTGCAGCTCAAGTTTTTGCACATTAGCATTGACAGGGAAATGAGTTAGGCTTTGTTCAAGTAGTGACCCACTTCTATACGCTTGTGTTGGTCTTCCTGACCCAGTTTTGTCTTGAAAAAGGGTACATCAGTGCTACTTACGTCTGCTTTTTGCTCGCGTTTCTAGTATGGAAGTGCCTTCATCATTAGTAAGACGACATGAACCGTATATTTTCCTGAGTGAGCTAGCACGTACTGTTACAATAAAACTGGGCAACTGCGCTGGCGACATAGATGCAGATGCACTCAGTCTTCTATAGCTGCTAATGAAGAATACATTTGTTTGGAGAAATGGAAATTTTATCGATTTCGTGTTCCTAGTGATGTATAAACGTTCATAGTATCATTTTAAGGGGCACTTTTTCCTACCGTCATGATCTATGTAAAGTAGAACGTGAAAATAACTGAAGGAAATAGAACAAGCCTGGTGGACAGACTTCAGTAATGACGTATTAGTGTGTGTGTCAGGGATCGGTGTGTGTGTCAGAGATCTGTGTGTGTGTCAGGGATCTGTGTGTGTGTCAGGGATCTGTGTGTGTGCCAGGCATTAGTGTGTGTATGTCGTGTGTATGTCAAGGGCCTGTGTGTGTGTCAGAGATCTGTGTGTGTGTCAGGGATCTGTGTGTGTCAGGGATATGACTTTTTTGTTTGCTTTTCCTCTGTCAGAAATTTTGTGATGCGTCGCATGCAACAACGCGATGCTCGCATGAGGCTAACGTGTAGTTCGCGTGCAAAAGTGCAGGCAAAAAGAAAACCTTCACTTAACACAACAAAAAAACTATTGCACTTGTAGGCGTAACATCAGCCGCGTTTATGCGTGTTGTCATGTGCCATAGTTTTTGTTGACGTAGTTTCTGCAGCCCAAAAGTAGCAGTTTGTGCAGCATATAAGCCGCAGTTTCTGCAGCCCAAAAGTAGCAGTTTGTGCAGCATATAAGCCGCAGTTTGTGCAGCCCAAAAGTAGCTGTTTATGCAGCATATAAGCCGCAGTTTCTGCAGCCTAAAAGTGGCAGTTTGTGCAGCATATAAGCCGCATTTTGTGCAGCCCAAAATTGGCAGTTTGTGCAGCATATAAGCCGCAGTTTGTGCAGCCCAAAAGTGGCAGTTTGTGCAGCATATATGCCGCATTTTGTGCAGCACAAAATTGGCAGTTTGTGCAGCATATATGCCGCATTTTGTTCAGCACATAACCCATAGTTTGTGCAGCAAAAATAAAGTTATTAATATTCATGATGNCACTCCATTTAAATATTTTTTTTATCAGTGTATGAAGGCAGGAAAATGGTACCTACTTTGCTTAGTACAAAATTTTGAACTTCAAAACTGGCAAAAAGTCTATGGTTCTGACCAAGGACTACTACACACATTGTAATACTATTGTATGAAACAATTATGGGCATATCATTTGTTGATGCCACTAAAACACCAGCATTTTCATAGTGTAGGCGATCGCCTCTGCTAGCAGAGGCTGGACATAGGCTATGCATGTCCTGTGTGTAGTAGTCCTTGACTTTGTAATTAAATACAGCACCTAAAATTAAAGTATCATCGGTGAGAGTCTGTAAGGATACACTCGAGTTCTTCAGCGAGAATCTAAAGGAAAAAAAAGGCGCAAAGATGCTGAGGATCGCCATGGGGGGATTAAAGTGATCACGCCCGTGTTGATCCTTGTTGTTTGGTCTGCGTGACCTGACACCGATGGGGCAAGGATCGTCGTTAGAAGCCTTGCAATAACAGAGATGGAAAGACTAAAAGGTTGAAGGTGAAAGCATGTTTAACGAGAGAGGATAAGAGGTTCGAGGTTAAAGCAAGCTTAACATGAAAGGCTGAAAGGTGATAGGTGAAGGCATTCGAAAGGGGAGAGATTAAAAGGTGAGAGGTGAAAGAAAGCTTAACGGGAGAGGCTAAATGGTGAAAGATGAAGAGACTTAACGGAAGAGGCTAAGAGGTGAGAGGTGAAAGAAAGCTTAACGGGAGAAGCTAAATGGTGAAAGGTGGAAACTGACTTAACGGAATAGGCTAAAATGTGAGAGGTGAAAGCAGGGTTAACGGGAGAGGCTAAAAGGTGAGAGGTGAAAGAAAGCTTAACGGGAGAGGCTAAATGGTGAAAGATGAAGAGACTTAACGGAAGAGGCTAAAAGGTGAGAGGTGAAAGAAAGCTTAACGGGAGAAGCTAAATGGTGAAAGGTCGAGAGA